AGAGAGAGAGAGAGAGAGAGAGAGAGAGAGAGAGAGAGAGAGAGAGAGAGAGAGAGAGAGAGCACCATTAGTTAAAACTGACAATTTGTTTTTAGTCTAACGAAATTGGGTTTCCCAAGGAACATTAATATTTTTCAGCCATTTTGCATCCCCACAATGTCAGACATTGCTGGTCCAGCATCCTGGGGTCGCCAGACCATCTGATGTACCTGAAATTTTTCCCTTCTCTTTTGGACCCACGGATGTATTTGGATGGTTCTTTACATCAATGTACATCCGATGGTATGGCTTCTGTAGGACGGCATACGATTAATGGTCCTGTCTTTTTCGTTTTCTTTTTTATTTTTTTATAAGTCCATGGTGTTGTAGAGGCTAATCACTGAGTACACAATGATCACCTGGAGCAGTAGGCCGTGGGTGTCCTGGAATAAGAGACCACCTCCCATCCCATCCTCACGTCAATACTCCTAGCGCAACCCTTATCCCACTATCCTACCTCGGTGTGGCGAGCACTCAGGACCATGATTACCTTACCAATGGGCAGGTAACTTGGACAGAACAGCAGTGATAGGCACCAGGGCTGATAGGTTGCCCAGCCCTGGTGGAAGCGGAATCGGATGAGCCTTGTCGAACGGGAACTTCGGACGCCAGGCCCAAACAATCTACTACAGGCCCCAAGAGACTCTGGGCCCTAGGTTTCAGACAGGATAGCACCCATTGAAGCAGTCTTACCGTCCTTCCCCTAGCTTACCCAAGGCCAGGCGGAACTCGGACTGGCCTGAGTGACTTATACGGTTATACCCCTACCCTTACCCCAGGGTCTAAGCCTTATATATAGTCACTAGACAGTTCTATTCGAATATCAGTAGGAACTCCGGTGACCCATACCTGTCCCTACTGCAGATACTAGACCCCACCAGTGACTAGACCCCCCCAGTCTGATAGTTGTGTAGTTCGTAATCTATGTGTGTATCCGAAGACTGTATGCTTCGTGTATCTGTGTATCAAGATGTGCAGACAGCACCATATGTGGAAACTTGTGTATGTGGCCCTTAGGCCATGTATAATTCGCAAGCTGTGTATATATGCCCGAAGGCTGTGTATGCTCTGTGAATCAATGTATCAGGATGTATAGGCAGCATCATGTGTGTATATAGAAGAGAGCATGGGGTAAGCTGGACAAGGACCCCCCCAAGGTCCGAACCAAGCTCGAACCCGTGACCTTGTAACGTGTAATCGAATGACTCTACCTGAATGACTAGCGAAAATGGCACGAACGTGTGATATGCCAGACTGGGGAGATCAACAGAACACCCAAGACCAACACCCCCAAGCAACCCATGTGAAACCCAGMACCAACATACAATACCATGAACAACCCTTGGGTGGTGCGCAGGCAGTGTCTGTAATAGATAACCTGCGTCATCCCAAGGGGTGTGTGTCCACCCGTGCGTCATTCTAACACCCTGCCGGTGTCCATGCGCAAGGCTGCGGATTTGAACCCGCAAGCTCATACCACAATGCGCATTTCCAACCAGTGCTCTAACCACTGAGCTACATCAACTGGACGGGCACACAAAAATGCTAAAAATATTGGGCTGTTTTTTGGGAACCCAATTTCATCAAACAAAAACAAGGTGATTCCCACAGCGGAGACCTGCTCCTCCTCCTCCCCGCTGGTCCTTAATGTTGTCTTCCACCACTTCTCAGTCCTGCCTCTGCATCTACATCCTCTTTGGTCATCTCCCCTCTGATGTGTGCTCCATGTCCTGTTGTGTACTTCTATTCGGGCGGCAGCATGTGGGGCAGACCCTATTTTGTAGATCGGGTGGTACTAACAGGCATGCTCCCCACCAATATGCAGGAGCCATCCAGGGTGGTACCACAGGGGGCTGCTAGTCCCCTGTGACACCTGCCTCAGATATACTGAAAGGGAAAAAAAAAACTAACAGGCACACGCCCACTGTGAAAAAAGGGGTGGAGCCAGGGTGGAAACTGCTCCCTGTCCATTGGGACATGGGGCCGCGCTAACGCTAGCGCTCTGATGCCGCCAAGGCTCGGTCTGCCGGCTAGACTAGCGCCGGAGGGAGGGAGTCCTTCGACCGTTGGGCCTGCACGTGCGCCCTGCAGACGTGGGTGGTGGCTTGGCTGCCACGTGGTGACTGCGGTTGGAATCGTGTTCCGTGACGCACGGGCAGGGGTGACGCCAGCTGTGGATTTGTCGATAGTTAGTGATAGTGGTGCGGCTTCTGATATCTACAATGGTGAGGTTGGGCGCGTTGGCGGCCAATGAGTGGCTTGCCATCGTTCAAGTGAGCAGAGAACGGGTGTGCAGCGAAGTGGCGAAGTTGAAAGCAGTGGCTGCAGAAACAACGGTGCCATCAATCCCGTGGATCCGGAGTGTGCGGGAGACGCTATTGGAGACAGCGTGGGGACTGGAGGAGAGGCCGCCCCCTCGTCTTACTGCGCTTATAGATGGACCACGATTGGGCAGCTTGATGCGGAGCTACTACGCAGATCTTGAGGAGGGGCAAGATCTTTGTGCTGAGCTGGAAGAACGCTGCTACGAGGATGACATCAACTCCGTTGCTGACGGCGACGGCGATAGTAGGGATAATGGCGAGCTTATGTGCACTTCCGTTCTTCTCAACAACCTTAATGACAGCAAAGACACTGTCGATCTCATCTGTGGCGTTGTCCGGCACAACAACCACAACAACTACAACAGCAACAACAATGATAACAACAACAACAACAACAACAACAACAACAACAACAACAAAGACAACAACAACAGCAACAACAACAATAACAATGACAAAAGCAGCGATTATCGTTATGTTGGTGACGTTGCTTTCGTTGGCATCGTCAACAACAACCAAATTAGTAAGGAGAATATGAGCACTGATGGCAGCAACAATAACATCGGTGGTGACGATCGCAGCAACGACAACAACACTGATAAGTACTATAACACCAGCGAAGAAGGTGAGCCTTGTGCATGTTTTCCGCACACCCAGGGTGTTGGCAACGCGGGTGATTGCATCGAACGTGAGGGGGGTAAGCCCTTTGCTGGATTTGGGGAAGGTGAGTTCGTTGGGGGATGGTTGTCTTTGGGCATGCTGATGATGATCTGGGGCTCATCGACTTCGCGGAATAGCGAGCCGCCTCTTTCATGGGATCTGGGTGGGATCAGGGGGGAGGGTTACAGAGTGGGGTAGAGCCTTTACGGAGGGGTGGTAGAGAGAATGGATGATTGAAGCGGCGCCGCAGGGTATGCATGACAGCGGGAGCGTGTTTTTATCGCTCTTTGTTTTCTGAGTAATATTGGCAATCTGGACCCCCTTGCGGCTTTTACAACAAAGGTTTTGTCATATACCTGATTAGGTGAGATGGAGAGATCGTCTGCTGCTCGGTAGCGTGATAGTGTAATCTGAAACTTCAGCTCCATCGATTTTGCTGGTCAGCAGGGGGACTG